TCGGACCCTAGGTATACCATGGTTCGAAAAACCCAGTGGAAAAAATATATTAAAACCCAAAACTGCATTTTTAAGCTTAAATTTTGAGAAAAATATGACTTTTTAATGAAAATGATCAGTTTTTAGCCGCAAGAAAAATACCCTAAACCCAACTTTTTATATCAGCCAATTTTTATGTTTAAATTCGGGGCATATAAAAATAGTAAAAAAATGCCTAAGCTCTTAAAAACAAAACAAACAGACAGACAATTAATTTTTTTAAAACCACTGTATGTTGTTCATTTTAAAAAATTCAAAATATGTTTAAAAATGAAATTCACGTTCTTACACAATGAATATAACAGTTTATACTGAAATGATTAAACCATTTTCAGTTAATGTTTTTTTGAATCTTTTTCTTTCAAAAAACAAACAAAATTACATATAGTTTTTTTTAACTATTAAAAAAACTAGTCGAATCTCTGATTATTTTAAAACATTAAAAATATGTCATAACTGTCAAATCCCAAAATTGCACAATTCACTATTTATTTATATTGTAATATAACACTTCTGGGCTAAAAAAAATTAAATAATTGACATTTTTCTATTTTTATTATTATTTAGGGTTTAAAAAAACAAAAAATATTTCCCGATTATTTAAATAAAAAGAATTGTATAATTGTATAATAATAATAATTATAATTTTTGTTATAATTGAATAGTAATTATTTTTTTAAAATAATATAAAAACTATTTTTCAGATCAAAATTATATTCTTTTTGATTCGAAAACAAACAACCATTTGTTTTTTGTTTATTTTTTTGTGAAAAAACTTGGTTCATTATTAATTGTTAGTGCCATACATATTACAAGATCATAACCAAAACGTAATTTTGTTTTTTTGTGAAAAAACTAGGTTCATATTTTTATTAGTGCAATACTAATTATAAGATCATTGTTATATAACATTATATTATAATCACTCATATTATTAGTTACAGAGCGTCTGTATCAATTTATAGCATAATTTATCAACAACTCAAAATAAACAAAATAACAATTCAAATGTAATGAATAATACCAATTCAATTATTAGAATTAATGAAAAGTGCTGATTCTTTTTTCATCTAAAATTTGATGAACTTTTTAAATTTTTTTAATATTTTGTGTTTTATTTTTTCATTAATTTATTTAATTAATTTTTAACTGTTTGATTATATAAGTTATAAATTCCTTATTTATTGTTATATTAGTATCAAACCATTATTTTTAATATTTAATTTTGTATATTTATAAAAACTCAAATTATAAATTTTCTAAATTTTATAATAATTATTACTATTATATGTATATCTTTTGTGCAAATTTTTTCACACTTGCAAAGTTTAAAATTGATTTAATTAAATTATTGCTAAAATTCAAAGAATATAAAAAATAGTCAATTAATAATTTCTTTTTTGAATATGCATTCAACTTAAAAACGCGTTAAAACAAACACTTTTATCCATGTTAAAAAGTAAATTCAAAGCCATTCGTTATTTTTTATCCGTTCATATTCGACAACTTGATATGCTGTTGGATATTTTATAATTTTAAAAAATCATGATGTAAAAAGAA